GTTATTCTAAGACCAGGCTGGAATCAGAAGTTTTGTCAGTTTCATTTAACCAGGGCACTGCTAAATGGCTTAAGCCAAGCATCAGCTCACCCAGCAAAGGCTTCATGACAGCTCATGTAGCTGGGTGCATCAGAGTCATGTACCCAGCCTAAAAAGCCCTCAGGCTTTCTCTTCTTCATGACTGGCTTAAGCGTTTTGTCTCTGGGCCACGGTGATAATGTGAATCAAGATCAAGAACACTTATTTCAATTGTGCTTTATGTTTTATTCTGACCTTAAATTCAGCATTGTCTAGACTGTCCCATCTCAAAATGGGAGGATCCCCTACTGGGAGGAATTTAGATATGCTACAGTAATATTAGTCTTAGCTATTATTTTGCTGGCAAGAAAGAATTTGTCCTAAACTTACTTTAACATGTACAGGAAAAGGAAAAACAATGACCCCTTGAAGACAAAAAACATGCTCATAAATGATGAGTTTCCACTCAGTGACCAAAATAAACAAGTTACAATTGCAGATACAGTTTGTGTACAGAGAAAACAACACTGCCAAAACCACGCAATTAGACTTTAATCATGATCTTGTGAGAAAAATAAGGTCAGGTGTACTTTGTGCATCTGAAGCATATTGCCAAAATGTACTTTATATACAGCAGCAACCTGTAAAAATCCTCACAACAAACACCTGTGACACTGAGGTGGACTAGGAAACACACAAATAGTTGCTCAGCTCAAGGCTTGAAGCCCATAAAGTCACAGAATATGAAAATACTGTAACAGAACACCTGATAATGTGCCAGAATATCCCTGCTCTCTGACACAATCAATTTAACATCCAGGTAGGAAAGTCCATTTAAATCATATTCATACACTGGGCAAGCTGCAGACACTGACATTACCCAAACACAGACATTCAAACTTGACCAATCCCACAGAGCAACACACTGGAAACTACTGACAAAAAGTATCCAGATGTTACTTGTGGTTTCTTTATTCTGAGTAGCTTTACACCAAACCAGGCCTACGTTATTGGCTTCAACTGACCAGTGACTGAAGAACTCACAAACAACTCACCCAACACTGCCACCCGTGAAGGCCCATGTGCTTGTCAGCAGGCTAAAAATCCAACCTGAACAGAACAACCACTGAAAATGACAATGAAATCATACCTGTGGTGATAGGAGACATGTACAGAGAGTCCTAAAGTAAAACAACTGTTTTTTTATGACAGAAATGTTTGAAAACTCCCAGAAGTGAACAGCAACTTCCTGGAAAGATGTGACTTCCTGTAACTTCATCCAATCAGGCCAAAGAAACTCACAAATCCCGCCCCCACGAGAAAGTGACGTTCACCAAGAAACTTGAAGAACAAACCATTATATTTGTTAAGCAGATTAAATAAAAGAAAAATGAAGAGTAAACAAAGGGGTGTGTGGGCTCCCGCGTGAATAAATAATCTAAATAATCTTTATTTTGTAAAACAAAATCACAGAAGAACATATATTCCCTGCTAGAAATCAGGTTTCCCCTCGTGAGGCAAATTATCAAGCTTTTTTTTTTCCATCACAACTTGGTTCCTTTGTTCGCCTTTGCAGTTTGACAGGATGGTGAATGGAGACCTTGCAGTAAATCAGTGTGGACTCATACGGTAAAGAATATTGTAGAAAACCAGTCCGTCCCGGGTCCGTTGGTGTCCCAGGCGAGTTGTCGCGTTGTTGACCAAAACCTAGCTACCATGCTAGCTAACACTAATCACTTGTTGGCCAACTACTAAATGCACTTTAAATACGACATTTCTGGAGCTCTTAGTAATCAAAGTCATAGTGTTGTCATGGCCTAAAGTGAGAGTGGTTGTTCATACCTCACACCGGCTGTTTATGTGTCTGCTGGACGTCTACTTCTGCTGCTGTAATTAACCAAACAGCAGTGCTGTATTGTGTAGAGCGGGCCGACGTTTGGCGCCCCCTTGCGGTGGCCATGCATAAATACAGTCGTGACAGTACTGTTTTAAAAAAAAAAAGCTCTTGTGATGCGCCATAAATGCGTCCATCACCTATGCCAGGGCCGGTGTTATGCGCTAAATAAAATGAGTGAATTGAATGTCCACACATTCGCATTTAGTTGAAATCACCACAGCACCATAGTCCCACAGAACCACTATGGCTGTTGCTCGTACCCGAATAAACATCTCACATACAAAACGAGCAGTTTTCAACTTTGGTAATCATTTCTATGTGAAAATGCTTCAAATAACAAAATGATCAGTCAGTGCTCACTGTTAAAAATGAACATGCTAAATCTTTGAAAACGACAGGTCCTGCCATCAGTCAAAGGCCTTTGACCTGACAGTGACAGCAAACAGATGCCACCTCCCCTATGATCCCTCAGTTTAAGACTGTATCAGAGCGTTGCCGTAATATATCAAAATAAATGAACACAATCAAACTCTGGAGGAACATGTCTACAAACATGATTCTCTATCAGAGTCTGCAGGTTAAATTAAAGCCTGTGTGGCCTTGTATAGTTACCTCTGATCATCACACTGAAGGAGAAACCTAAAACAAATTATGCCACAAAAAAACTCTCCAATCCACAAACTACCTCCAAAGTTCACGAACGGCAGTGGCCATTCAAGCCAGGCGCAGCCTCTTATTTGAAAAGGAAGTGACTTTCACAAACGAGCAGCTGTATTTTGTATTGTTACTATCGTGTTCCCAGCAGTATTAAAGTGGAATCACCTTAACACAGTTGGACATGCTTTTGTCATAGCTGAGGGTTTTCTACAGGAACCACTGCTTGGGTTTTGTATACACTCACGCTCAACTGGTTCCATTATCTTTGCTTCACATGCTTCCTCTCAAGTTTGTTCAGGCTCTGTAACAAAGAAAGTAGCTTATTATCACCCACTGCAGGAGTTGTCTGCACATGTATGGCTCAGGAATTGCTGGGACTTAACAAGAAGACTGAATTAGACTTGACACTGAGCCATTATTAGGAAATTAAACGCTGTTTTTACAATTATGGGAGTTTGGCAGGGCTTGGTGAATCTCCTTTCTAAGGATCATAAAAAGAAAATACGTTACATCTTCAGTTAGCTCATTTAGAATGGATTAAATGTTTCAATCCCATAGCCACAATACAATATAACCATCTGAATTTCCTGATGGAAATTGTCTTTCAGCATGTGTATCTTAATTTTGTGATACTGGCACCGTACCCACATGGAAGCCTGGGTGTTCTGTATGAACGATTAAAAGTTTTGGAGGAGCGATATATTAAAGCTCCTTTTTGAACAGAGAACACTGAACTGAAAAGAGGCGTTAACCTCCCGACCCAGTAGCACCATGAAGCTAATACAACATGGCAGCTCAGGGCTACTTTCTCAGCCTCACCAAGTAATTGGTGACCCAGCACTCTACCCAGAAAAGCACACAGGGTTAGGTCCTAAACATGGGATTGTAGTATATTCACTGAAAAGCATGTGACAAGTCAGTCCCTCATACAGAGCTGCTCAGGACTGTCTGACACACTGTTTGGTTTGGCTTCGACTTCAGTCCTGTTATTCTGTACCCTCTGACACAGAGGTTATTGTGGCATTCAAGCTTCCACCTTCCTGAAATGTGGTTAATTTGTGGAGCAAGCTTTTCTCACCTGTAACCATATATATAGTTTGTCCCTACAGTGTCTCCTGAAATAAAGCCCCTGTGGTAGCAGGTGTTCCTTCGACTTCATAGGTACAACAGTAAACACAAGTCATGATCTGATCAGGTTTAAGCACAAACCTACTTGGTTGTTCTCCAGGTCTTTCCACAGTCACTACTAACCTCTAGCAGTTTATACATATACTACACTATCAGCTGCATTTCTCAACCTGGCTTTTGTTTTCAATTACTCTTCAAACTAAGTCTTCATCAGTGTTGTAATACTCAAGTCCAGGACTTGGATTCTAGTCTTTTCAGGACTCGTGACTCAATTTGGACTTGAGCACTGGTAGCTCAAGTCTTCAGCATTGACTATATTCAGACTGGAAAGCTGGAGACTCGGAACAAGGCAGCAGGGGAAGTTCCAGCTTCAAATGATCCACAGTGTAGTTTCATATTGTTAAAAGCCAACAGCTGATCTTCATCTGAACATGGTGAGGTGTATAAAGTGTACAGGAGGTTACCTCAAACCGGCAAGCAGCTTTTTCTACAGCTGCCGTTGTAATATTTCCTCCATTATTAGGGAGACCATCCTCCTTGCTGTGACAATACTGATTGTGCCTGTACAGAATATAACAAACCCCAGTACCTGAAGCAGATTCACAGGGAGTGGACACCGACACTGCTGATGCCGTCTGCCAGTCTACTGAAAGCTCTCCACAGAAGCTTGTGTGTTACTGGGACAAGCTGTAGAAGGTCTGTCTCCTCTGCTGATTGGCTGAGCGAGGTTGGTGCCAAATCATATGTCTGTGTTTTGTAAATCCCCTGAGAAGCCTGGCATTTTTTTTCACTGACTTGTCATCTGTCAAGTATTCCACAAAGCAGACTTTTCTTTACGATTCTGTAATAATATTCCTTGACCTTTAGGGCTAATTTGCTTTTCCCAGGCTTCTTTCATGACCTCAGATTAAAAAAAAAAAATTCTTAAGAGCTATTCTGTTTTTAAGATCTAGGACTTTACTAGACTCCGGGGCAATCAATGGCGTCGCACGCTTTACTCCATGTTGTATTACTTTTTATTGTTGTGATCTTGTGTCATTGTGATTTTTCTATGTGAGGTTGTGTTTACTCCTAAAGTCCCGACTCAGCATCACACTCATGTCACACCTGCACAGTAGTACTTCTGGTGTTTCTATAGATAGTAACTGTGCAGGACACTGTAGTTTGCAGTAATTTGATTCAGCCTGCCACCTAGTGGCCACCTGCTTTCATTACCTACTAAATTTCAAATGAATGAACATGGTTTGTAATGTCTGAACTTTTCCAACAGGAGCATGTAGCTGGAAAGAGTCGCACTGTGGCAATTTAAAAGTCCTTTATTGATGCTCTAAGATTGTTGTGAAATACATTAGCCTTTAACATCCTTGATATTCATCATGGTTGGATATTGAAGCTGCGTGACTGTCAGGACATAAGCTACCATACTTAAAGCCCACAGTTAAACGCCATCTGACTGTAACTGTGGATGAAAGGTGCTAGCAGTAGGATGTCATGACCCACTGAGCAAAAGCACATAAGCTAATGTGGAAGGTCAGCTAGCTAGCTTTACACTTTTCTGCTGTGCAACAACAAAAAGCCTGACTTGTGTGTATACTGTCTAGAGAGAAACTACTCTTCCACCTTTCTCACTAAAGCTCTAATGGTGTTTTAGCAGCCAGGTGGGGGCGGGTCCACCCGGCTGGACAAAGTAGCTCCACCACCAGGGCTTCTCTGCTCTTTCCTCACGGTTCTGGCTGACATCGGCCGTCAGGATGTAGTGCCCGTACTGGTTATAAGGGTCAAAGTGGTCATAGGAGCCCAGAGAGAGGATGGCGTCACTCTCCTCCTGCATGTCCGGCTCCACGGCAGCTTTCTGCAGCACAAAGTCCACTCGGCCTGCCGTGTGCATGCGAGGAGGCAGGAAGACTTTCTTCACAGCTCTGGTGTAGCCCAGGGCTGAGGCGGTCACAATGTGGGTGCCAGGGGTGAGGAGGCGCCAGTAGTCTCCATTTTCAGCTGGCCAGGGAGGGAGAGTGATGGAGTTTATCATTTCTTTCTGAACAGGAGCACTTAACTAATTTACACATGAGTTTACTTACACTTAACCATTTGGGCATTTGGATGGAGACTCCAGTGATGCATTCATGTCATATGGGATGGATTATAGAAATGTTTACAACTTGCAAGCATTCACACGACTGGACAAATGAAGACGGTTCTGACCGTGTGATGGTTAAAAATACTGTGCATTCAGAATATAGCATAGTCTGGGTTCAGTTGAGCTGAACAATGGACTTCAGAATATTCTAAGATTTCTAGTTTGTATTTGTGATTCAGATACTGATATGAATGCTATTTACATGTCAGGTAACTGCAGTACAGTTATGTGACATAACAAAAAGCGCTACTGTAGTGCACTGTGTGGAACTGTCCAGTAGGATGCAGGACTAAAAGTCAAGATCAGTTTTATGATCTGTCTCTCACAGACCCTCTGGGCTTAGGGATAATTAAGGAGAATTAATACTGATAATTATTACCTGTGGTAATATCATGGCGTATTCCTCTGACTGATATCCGTGCACCTTTGATTCCATTCCCCTCCTCATCTTTGACGATGCCTTTGATACCTCGATGAGCCTGAGGAACAACACAAGACAGGATGAGCAAATCATTTCATATGCATGAATTTATATTTCAACAAAGACTTAAATACAATTCATTTAATACCAACTCCGACTTTAAATCCAGCCCTTACTGTCATTCACCTCACGTATTGTTTGGGTCACACTTCATGCACCCTAACACCAATAAGGCAACAAAAAACAAAAATCAAACCAAGTGGAACAGAGTCTGGACTTACTGCCTCCATGAAAGTGATCAAAGCTTCGTGGTTTTCATACCAGCTGTTCAACAATTCCTCCTGAGGGGGGAATTTTTCACAACCCAGCTCCACTGTCACCTCAAAACAGTTGGTGTGAAGATAGCTGAAGTCTTGCATACCTGACCAGAGATGAAACAAAGCTGCTTTATCTATGAGAAACTGGAGTGACCTAAGCACCACTTCTCTGATATTTCTGGTCTTACAATGACCTCTAGTGGCACATTAGTGTCAGGCGCCCTGTCGACTTTTGAGGAATCACTTCTTTACTCACTGCCTGCAAAGCTGGACCACTGCGCTCCATTAATGGTTCCTTTCTCACTGTGAGTATGAGACGATCCGCACCGGGCGTTTTCATTGGACATTGTTTCATGGGTGTCTGCATATGTTCTGGCAAGAAACTTGAAAACCTACAAAATAAAAGCCAGTGTTATTTTTCTCTTGTTTAAGGATAGATGAAAAGTTGGGCGTTAATTCAAGTCACACAATCAGTCTGTTAGTTCTGAGCTCATTCACTGGGGTTTTATCAGTTATCATGAATGAATTTATATCAATCCAGCCTAAATACTACAGTCTGTTGTTCAGGTTTTTGTTGTTATTGTAGTTTGTGTCTCGTTGTTGTTGCTTCCAGCAGCTGGTTCACAAATGTGACTTGATTATCACATTTCCTTTGTAGTGATCCTCTACATCTTATACATCCTGTATTTTTAGAAAATAATTTATATCTCAATTACAAAGTCCATCACTCCAGAGACTCCAAAGGGTTTGCATTAAAATGTAACAAAAAGTAATTTCAATATTTGCAGCCTTTGCTAATTAAAGTTTATCAAAACAAAGTTACTGAATGTTTTTATTCTTTTTTTTTTATTATTCTTGTATTTTGCAGATTCAATGCACTTTTCACTGGTTAGAAAAGAGACAGAAATCAACATGTGTTGGGGCTCGTTCACCTGATGATCCGGTGTCAGGGACAACATGTTGTGTCCCAGCGGGTGTTTGGACAGGTCATATGGGTAGGCCACCACCAGGTCGCCGCCATGGAAATTAGCAGAGAGCACAAATGGAATGGAGCGGATCCACTTCATCACAGCATAGGTCTCTGGTGCAACCTGGATAGCAGCGTTAAGACAGTATCCCAACCAAAAAACAAATCAAGTTTATTCCATTTCAAAAAAGCTTTCTCAACAGTTCTGCCTATTAAGCCATAAAATATTATTTGTTAACATCCAGTATATGGATAAGGATTCATCCTGTACCTTACCAAACCAGTAAGAGTCTGGGATTGGGATGTGGTCGGTGCGGTAGCCTTTCTGTCTGCGTCGGTTGTAGACGACAGAAGTCAAATCAGGGAAGTTCCTGTTCAGGTCGATGTTCTGGGCGTTGTTTCGACCGACATTCCAAGTGTCGTATCTGTGACCCTGAGACTACAACACACATTGAGCATCCACATGTTAATGAATCAGATATCAACCACAAACCACGATTTCCAGCTGACACACACTTCAGATAACTACAAACATCTCTGCGTCTTATATAGATATACAGTATATATGCATTCTTTGACTTTGACCCCATGTTAAGAAAACACTGCTGAAGTTTTATTTTCCTTTTGTCTTTGTCTAATATTTTGAACATATTTTTGTGGACTTATGATGACATCATTTTCCCAGTATCTATGTATGTGTGTGCACTTTTATTTCAGTTGAGCAGGACTGCCCATTAATCTGTCCATTTTGTTTCAATTAAGCAATTGCTTAGTCTTTAAGCTGTGAGAAAATAGTGAAAAGTGTTCATACAACTTCCAAGAGGCGAAAGAAATGTCGTCCAATTACTCTGATCAAGACTCACAAATCCATAAAGTCCACGAGATCCTCTGCACTCAAAGTTTTTATATATCTTAACAGCTAGGGTGCATTTCAAATTCAATTTAACTGGAACAGGGGCATTTAAGAAGGGTGGTTGGTTTGTTAAAGGTATCACAGAAGGACAAAGATGACTCTAAACCTAAACTCTAAACAGTACTTTGTCCTTTATGAATGTGACCACTGACCTCCTCATCATCACCGTAACTATTGTCCTGTACTCCAGAGACTGCCACCTCGTATCCATCGGGGTTCATTGAGGGCAGGATGTGGATGCGGGTGGTGTTGATGAGGGTCTGGATGCGCTCGTTCCCCAGCTGATACTCTGAGCACAGGTACTGAGCCAAGTAGATCAGCAGCTGGCGGCCCACCACTTCATTTCCATGCATGTTGCCAACATACTTCACCTCTGGCTCGACTGCACACATTTACAGTAACCGCTCTAACTTCCTTGACAATGAGAAAGGGTGCAGACTATGTCCGCAGACTTTGTTGAGCTCTACTTACGCAGTTCATGTTGCCCGGGGTTGTTTGAGAACTCGATCACCAGCAGCTCCTTGCCCTCCATGCTGCGGCCGATGCTGTAGGTTCTGGCTATGTCGGAGCATTGTTCCTCAGTTTTCTTCAAGGTACTGATCATCTGAGCGTTGGAGTGGTAGGGGAACTGTATCGTGGAAACGGGGTCCTCCGCAGGAAGAGCTTCCATGCTGGAGAAGGCGTCTACATCCTGCGCTGCTGTAAAGGAAACAGTTTTGATCAAGTGACATGTAAGATGTCTTATACAAAAACACCAACTGACTGGTTAAAGTGATAAAACCTGCTGATGTCTGACTTCATGTTTGTTCTAAACCATATCGTCTTCTTCTCCTTCCTCATTCAATTACCTGTGACTTGTGAAAATTAAGAATCGTTTTCATTAGCGATTAACCTGCTCATTATCTCAATTATTTGATTAGTGAAATGTTGATGAGACCACTAACCTAACATGTCCATGTCAAAATACTAAAATACTGCAATAATAAACATCTAACTGATGGTAAAACACTGCCTAGGTAATGACTAAGGATTAATTTAATAATCAGTTCATCTACTGATTATTTTCTCAGTTAATTGATTATTGTTTTGGACAGATGCCATGACACAATATCCCTGAACCTTAACCTCTAGAGTCCTGAGCTTTGGAAACCCAAGCTGTGCGGTCCTCATATGAGGACGCAGGGACTCTAGAGGTTATGGTGACATCTACAAATTGCTAGTTTGGTAAGCAGCAAATGCACAGATTTCAGAGCCTGGAACCAAAATGACACATTTACTGCTTAGTCGACTTGTTCCAGCTGTAGCCTGTCACTCTGCACACAACATTTAATGTAAGGCTGCACACTGCGGATCCATTCCACTGACTGACGTACTGTTAATGTTTCCATTTTCTGGGATGTTGCTGTCAAAACAAGAAATCCTGTACAGCATTAATGGGTGAAGAGCTTGAGGGCACGTGATACTGAAACAGGAACAGTGAGTTTAAAATTAATGTACATATGGAAAACATTCCAGAGATTTAACACGCTGCCAGACATCTGAACCACATTCTGTTTGGTGGAAAAACTTTAGCAGGACAATAAAAAGAAGTGAGAAACTTCAATACAGAGCTACAGGTTAAAGCACCATATTTCATTTCACTGGTGAACTTTATGACCGTGTAATTTTTGAAGGTTCACCAGAATGATGCGACTAAATGCTCAAAATCAAACTGTGTCCGTGCAGATGTTTGTGCCGATCGTGCTCTCATGTGGCTTGCACATGATGCTGTTGTGAGAAGCAGCAGAATATCTTTTTTTTTTTAATCAATTTTGGAAAAGATTGTTTTTTTGGTGTCTTTTGAAAACACTGCCAGGCAATGTTGTGGTGCATTAGTGCAAAGCTAAGCTCCTACTGAGTGCTCATGCAAACAGCCACAGGCCTGAGTGAAAGGGAGAGTATATCTGGGGGACTAGGATGCTCCAGTTGGATTTTATTTTGAGGTGAGCCACATGAGCATGTGTGCTAACCAGATGTCTGCTCAATGAAACAGAAAGGACTACACTTCTTTCAGAGGAAAACAAGGTGGTTAAAACCAAATTTAAAATGACACAAAGAGTCTTATCCAAAACAAAGGTCACAGTCATGTTGACCTGATTTCTCACCACTGAGGCCCTCCAGGGGGTCAAAACAACCCTCTTGCTCGCCGACGAAAAAGCGGTCACAGTCCAAGAAGTAGGGCCAAGCCATCTCTATCGCCTCAAAAGCATGGCTGCACTTCTTCTGCACCGCCTCACAGGCGGTGCGACAGGGCTTCAGCACCTTCTCCTTCTCGCAGCGTGGGGCCAACACAGAGCAGCCCAGCATGCGGATTTCAGGGCTGCACGCTCCACCGAGCAGGGATTCAGCCACACTTAGGAGGAGGTACTCGGTGCCCGCCTCGGCATCTTCACGGGTCTTGTGTCCAAGGATGTTGGGGAACATGGTCTGAGTGTAAGGCATGTCGTCGCAGTAAGACAGCAAGACATCTGTGCATTTGGCTGAGGTTAAAAAAATAAAAGAAAATTCAGACAGTTCAAAGAATTTTCAAATTGAAGAATGACAACAAGCAGAAAAATGAGAAAACAGACAATATTAACTTTATCAGTCTTATTTGAGCGATCAGGTCATGTACATTTAATCATGAGCCTCACTGTGCCATCTTCAATCATCTGCTCCCAAATATTTCTATTACCTCTGGAAATTAGAATTTGAATATTTCATTGAACCATTGATCATCTAAAAATACACATGATGGTCTTATGGCTTTCGGACCAGATTCCATTAAGACTACACCCAGTGTGACTTATGAGCTCATCCTTTTTGTTGTTAAAAACACTGACTCCAACCAAACGGATCTAACTGCACAGACACTTGACCCTCAGGGACGGTGGGGTCAATTTAGGGACCAAACCTTCCCTAATGTCACAAACAAATGAGTGGTGTTAGGTTCAAAAGTCTAAGGACATTTGTGAGCTAAACAAACCTGAGATGTGATCAGCTGCTACCACAATGACAAAGAGCTCACACAGCTCGTCCTCCAAGCTCAAGGGTACTTACGTTTTTCTTCCACTGTTGGTTTGCACAGTCCTGCAAGACACATGTGTCATTAGCTGACACTAGATGGCAGAGTGGTTTATTGTAGAGTGGTTTCAATAAATGCTTTACTCTGGCCTATAAAATACTCTGCTGGTCAACTTGTGGTCGTGCTGCTGCAGCTCTCTGAAATGTCTGTCTGCTATTAAAAGGAAGTCGCTAGTGTTCCCACATTTTATTACAAGTTTATAAATCATTAAGACTGTAAAAGCCTGCGTTCAACCAGCATATTAATATCACGCGAGAAGGCAAAGGCCAACACGTAATCATATGCATAATCATTTAGTATCTTTAAGTTGTAAAGAAGTATTTTCACAAGTTTTACTGCAGCAACATCAGTTCGTGCATGTCCAAAAGTCCAGAAACTAGTGAGAAATGCCGTGTCCAATGTAGGCTGCAGGTCAGCATAAGAATGAAGAATGTAATGATATAAAGTAGAAAAACTACCTGGAAATCCGGGGTGACATCGCGGAGGCGCGCACGAAACAAGCACCAGCTGCAGCAGGATCAGCAGCATGATGCTCATTTTCCGTCACTTATGTTCCGTTTCGATGTGGCACCTCACACACGCAGGCAGAAGGTGTGTGCGTTTGAATTTCCTCAAGTCTGCAGTAACTCCGCTTAAGTTTCCTTAACGCCACTTTATTACAAACAGTACGGTCAAATATCAGGTTACATTGGAAACGGCTCTGATTTTTAGGGGCGCGCACGAAAATGTTAACTTTCAGAACATGACGCAACTTCACGGAAATAGAAAGTGAACTGACAGGCAGCTTGTAAACATGCTTTGCCTCTTCCCTTACTTTTGAGTATACTGGTAAACTTTTTGTTCCAGGACGGTTTTGAGTCTGGATTCAAGTGAATGAACTTGTGCCTTCTTCAGTCACATGACACTATTTGTCCAATAGGGTGCTCGCCAGGTGTTTGATTGGCAGGAGAACAATGATTGGCACATGTTCTTTAAAGGTGCTTGTTGGGGGAATGACATAAACATTACAAAAGTTCAATATTAGCAGTTTTCTCTTTACTTGTCCTACTTATAAATGTTGATGTGGGCTAAGTCTGTTAATGCTAGCTTTAGACTGGAGGCTGCATTTTTAGTCTGTTGCAACCAGGCACCCACAGTTTACATTGTCACCAGAATGGGTAGGGCAAAGAGAAGTGACCGGTGGATAATGGCAATAGTATCTATCAGCAGACTGCACGATAGAGGCAGGGCACATAGGGTCATAACCTGGTGTGTCCATTTACACCCCAACCACCAGATGCAGGATGTGCTGGGTATGTGACGCAGCCACCAGAGCTGACCACTGCCAGTCTAGTCAGTGGTTGTGATTCCACCGGGTCTGACTGTGTTCCATCTCCATACAGCTTTGCTAAAGGTACACATCTTGTGTATTTTTGACAGATGCTGGTTCTGGGATACTTCTGACAAGGTTCAACCCACCGACCAGGCAGTGCTAGTTGCTAAAGACTACTAACTGTAGTCTCTGCCTGTATGCTAGGCTACAGCACAACAAAGTAGGAAATAAGAACAACAAACACAATTAAAACAGACAAAAAACCCCCCCCACCTACACATAAAATCAGTACTACAACAAGCTGCTCTGCAGACGCACCCAGCAGGGGATGAAGTCGTACAGAGGATGGATCAAAACTGGATCACAGACGGAATGCA